CCTTTGTCCGAGCATATGTGAATGAGGGGCCCGCTGATGTCACACCCGATGAAATAGCAGTTTGGGTTCAAGCCCAAGTATTTCCCGTTCCCACACCCAGCGTCGAGTACGAGTGATCCGGAGGGGAGGGAGTTTAAGAAGGCCTGGACTTTGGGCCATTTAGCAAAACGAGTCGAACTGAAGTGGGGGGCGATCGCGTCATACACGCGGTGGACGTATTTTTTCTCGATTTCGGGAGTTGCTTGGGGTTTGGAGGGTGGGGGTTGTTTCAGGGTGGTTCTTGTGGCTATGGGGCGCAAAACGGGCAATTCGTCTGTTTCTTTTGTGTCTTTCATGATGGATAGCCGTCTGAAATGGGTGGGCTGAATTCCTCTGGTGATGGGACGTCTAATGAGAAACATTCAGAAATGCCATCATATGTGGAGAGGATCTGTTATCAAATAAAATAAAGAGAAATTCCAACTCAGCACAAACTAAGAACGATATCAGTGATAATGAGATGCAATTTTGCCGGTTTGTAACTTCTTTCTCCTTTTGAACTGATTTTTCTTCCGTACTTTCTCGACTCTTTAATGTGTGGGACATAAAGGTGAAGATGGTAAAATTTGGTTTGCTCAAATGGGGGTCGGTTTACCCTTATCTTTGTAACTAATGGAAACAATAATTACAAATTTTCGCGCAATCTTCCCGTGAACAATCTTTTCAAACTGAAAATAATCCGTATTTAAAAATCCCAAGTACAAAGACGATGTAAGTGGAGAACTAGCTTAGGCATTTCTTCTGTAGAATGGAAGTGAAAGTAAGAGCAATGCATGAAACTGGCATATTGAAAAATCAAATCTGACGCCTGAAATATGCTCGGGCTTTAGAACACAAATTCACTCGAGCAACATAATAAAATCTCCTAATCTCACTGACTTGCTTTGACAAAACCCATGAGGGCCATGACTGAATACATGTAATTTGAACTGTTTTCACTCAGAGGAGCTTTTTCGAAACCACGGAGATGCATTTCACATCTCGGCCGAAAACTCCTTACACTCAATACATCGAAATTATTAACAATGTTGCCATCAATGACAGTTTTTCGAATTCCAAAATCTGAAAATGGATTGAAAAATCACGCAATCCATATTCCTTACTCTTATTAATGACTATAAAAATTATCAATCTCAATCAATTGAACTTCTATACATCTGCAAAAAATTCAACAAACCAAAAACGTGCTCCTCACCCGATTCAATCTTCAAGACAACCAGATTTTTACTTGTATGTATTATGGAAAAGCAAGAATGAAAACAAATAAAAGGCAAAAACAGTATAGATTTCAAAATAGAGAACTTACAATTACAGCAAAAGCAGAGTGAAGAACGAGGTTTGATTGCAGCAGATTGTAAGCCTCTCTGGTTGAAAGTCGAAACACAGAGAACAAAGAGGAGACGAGGGATTTGTGACGTTGTATTCCTTGTTGGTTTGGTCTTTAATATGCAAAATATTCCGAGCAGGTCCAAGTCGGGTGGCCCAACTTTGTGGCCCAGTAGTCGGATGAGCCTCTCGACCCAAATAATGACCACGTGTCATCAGCAAGAAATGCGAAGGGAAGGTTATGACGGGAAAATATTAAAACTAGTCCCGTAGCTTTTGGTTTTTATTTTTAGTTTCATTGAAATGTTGTTTTCTAAAACTAGTCTTTTAAGGCGTGATTGTTTATAAACTAGTTAAGAAAAATCTGGTTTTAATTGATTTTTACTGTTGAGTGTGTGATTGTTTATACAACTTGATGGGTTATTATTGGGCCCACATATTTATTCCCCCACTGCAAAAAAAACGTGTAGCTCCACCAGCCTTCTGTAAAAAAAATTCATTGCCCTCTATACCTTTTTTGACTCCTTTTTCTCTCATTTCAAATCCATGGAGAATCCGTACAACATATTGCCTCAAATTTTTCCTCCATAAAACCCCTCACCCACCTTCGTCTCTGTATGGATCTCTCCCCACACAAAAATCAATCGGCAGCAGGACGTGAAGAAGGCGCTGAAGGGAGGTCAGATCGGCGACCCGACGAAACCACAGAGCACCGGCAGCGTGTCGGTCACATCTCCCAAAAAAAAGACTCCGGCCAACAAA